ATATATATATATATATATATATATATATATATATATATATATATATGACTCCATATATATATATATATATATATATATATATATATATATATATATATATATATATATATATATATATATATATATATATATATATATATATATTATTATTATTATTATTATGCCATTTTCAGGAGTCAAATCTAAAACGACAAATTTGTTGGAAAATATCGATTTATTCCATGTTCGCTTTCTGATAACTAACTTCCGCCCCCCCCCCCATTTTTTAGTGAAGTTATCATGCAGTCCTCGAAATTCTCCACAGCGGTGTTTCAAGGATTTCAGCTTGCCCTCGCTCGACACATGCACTCAGAGTAACATCATCTGATTTACGCATGCTCAACTCTTGAGGATCACGGTTGTCCTACCATGAAAGAGAAAGTAGAACGCTGTACATGAAGTTAAATATGTCCAACAGGGTGCTTGATAGGTCTGACAGTGCATGTTTTCCGTTGTTGACATTATACATATACAATATGGTATTTATTTTGTGCAGACTGCAGACTCCTGAAAAAGTTGCTCAACAAGCTTGTGATGCTGATGTTCATGTGGTTGGAATTAGTATTAACTGGTAGAAGCCTTGAAGGCAAAGGACAAAAGGTCTGTCTAACGTTCTCATTGTGAAATACACAGTGCCAATCAAATACTATCCAACATTCAATTTGTCTTGACGTTCACTAACTAACTTATCTGAATGTTTTCCTAGAGATATTCAACTTTTGGAAAAATCTACCGGGTGTCCCCAAAAAACTTGCACTGTTTGATTTAATATGACGTAAAGACTATAACAGCTATTACACTCAAATAAGTTTTATTGTTTTCAAAAGGGGCTAACTTAGATTTAACAAATATAAAACATTTTCCGTGTTGATATGCAGTTATATCAACACGAGTGGAATTGGGAAAACGAGAAATTGTATGGAAACACGACGCCCGAAGGGCGGAGTGTTTTCATACAATTTCGAGTTTTCCCAACTTCCACGAGTGTTGATATAACTATATATCAATACGGAAAAAAGTTTTATATTTTTTTTATAATATAGCAATGTCAAAAGCCCGAAGGATAAGAAAAATTTCCGTGTTTACAAGCGGCGGAAAATTTCCCGTGTTGACATTGAGTTATATCAACACGGCTCTTAGCCAATCAGCGTTCAGAATTTACAAATGCTATATTATAATTTAATATATAACATTTGAATGTCCGTGCAATATTGACTGAGCTATCGGTGTTTTAAATCGAACAAGACGCCTGCTCAGGCGTTCACACTGGCCTGAAAATAACGAGATACGTGCTATGGTGCAAAAGGCAGGAATACAAATCTTAAACCGCAAGCAAATTTTATGGACTTTTTTTTAAAAAATAAAAGACCTTTTTGGGAGACGTTTAATAATGGTGCAAGTCTATAACTAGGAGTTACTATCGCAAGGAAAGTGCTGCCTTTTTGGCGTATGAACTGAATGCAAAAATTTATACTTCTACACAATTCTCGGTTATATCCCCAATGTTTCCTTCTCGTTCATCATTTAAGCCCGTTCACAAACTCATTCTTAAATTGTATGCACGGAATACGAGTAAATAGCCAACATGAAAATGAAGCCATTGGGTCAAAAGTGGATATTAAGGTCTATTACCTATTAGCTGCCAATGCACACTACTTTAGTATTAACTCTGGCTAACGCCAGACGATTTTACTTGTTAGTGGCAGAGTACTGTCAGTAAATGGGTTAACAAACACATCTGCCAATGTCTCTTATTAACCCATTAACAGGCAATGTACCCTGCTTTAGTATTCGTTAGTGACTCTTCAGAATTTGCTCAGAGTCAATGTGAGTAAAATACATCTTGTATTCAAGCGCTTTCATATACAAAGTTTCGTTTGAATACGGCACAGAGTAGGAATATTTATTTTGAATTTTTCAGAATATCGGGTTTTTACTCGCACGCACGTTTATAGCTCGATCAATGCACGTGCAAATCATGCCGACCTACAGAATCGATTTCCGGTTTTTCCTAAACAGCGCGTTGTTTTGATGTGCGTTCCATGGGCCGCGCTAAAAATATAAATATTCTGTAATTACCGAAATAAAAGATGACAATCTCAAGACACAAGCTTGAAAATAACACTATAAATAGTGTTTTCGATTCTGGTTCCAATAATATCATTACGAAAAAGATATGTCCAAAGGGGCCGAAGTTATGTTCGGCAAAATGTATGGCTAGTACGTTTACATTGTTTGTTATATTATGAAATATGATACCATACTTGTATTAAAATTCGCGTCGAACTAATGTTATTGTATTAGGCAAATGAGTAGACTTACCACAAGTCGGCCTCGAACGAAATGCGTTTCTTCGAGGTCGACTTGTGGCAAGTCTAGCAAATGAGAACCATACAATAATGGTCCTAGTTCTTGTTGGTATTTTGAACGCACGCTTTATCTTTAGCATAGCTACCACAAAGCTTTTCGCGCGGATTATATTTCGCGCAGTACTAAAATTTCCGCACCCAGCGGCCATAGCCTGTGAGAATTTACGGCTGTACACAGGCTAAGCGGCCAGCGCTACGCTAATTCTCTTAATTCTAGTACTGCGCGGATTTTAATACATGTATTTAAAGGTATATTGTCGACATTTGACTAAAACTATCGTAAGGAATTCGGAGAGTTTGTCCTTGTTTATATTCCAATATATTGTATAAATTTGCTGGGTACAAATTTATGAAATTTTGGGGTTTTCGAGTCGTTAATTCATTAATTAAAACATTAATTCAACAGCCAAGAAAGTCCAGAGTGCGATGCAAAAATTAACACAAGTACACAACGGATGTTATGAGTCCACGACGTATATTTATAGTTGTTTATTAAAAAGTCAAACTGTCAAACCTTTAACTTGTCCTTGTTTAAATATCCTTCTATATATTGTATAAATTCGCTGGGTCTAAATTTTCGAGTCGTTACACAAAGAAAAACACATTAATTCAACACGCAAGAAAGTCCAGAGTACGACACAACGTAAAATCCATAGGAAACCGGCACAATTCTTTGAAAATTCAACAAAACTGTGTAAAATGTAGTTTGATCACTCTGTGAAAAGCCGCCATTGGAGTTCGGAATTGTGCGCGTGCGTACAAGTGTATGGGCTAATAAACGAAAAATGCACCACAAGCATGGCATGAGTCGGCTATTACGTACATAAATACGGACTTATTACTATACTATGTAAATCATGGAACCGAGGGGACCGATGGCATTTTGGCTTAGTCGTTGCACCCTGAGCCTGCGATGAGCTAACGCAAACTCGATTTCTCGACTACGAAAAAAACAGGAAAAGACAGAAAAAGAGGGATTTAAGACACTTGGCCTACAGGCCAGTGTAATAAGCATATTTGACAATGTTAAAATTTTGCATAAAATTGCCTACCAAATATTATTTGGTTAATTTTAAACTTGAAAATTGTTTTACCGTGGCCAAAAGAACAAATAAAAAATATAATTGTTAGATAAATATTTATTTATCAGAGAAAGTATGTCCTTTTGCACGTATACAATGTCTTAATTAAAACCATTAAAACCCAAACTCTTTGATCTTTGTTAATCGAGGGATATTCGAAAGGTGAATGCATAATCGTAGACCAACTTTATAAGTACAAACTGCCAAAAGACGTCTAATATATTTTCGAACGTTTGTATATGTTTCGTTTTTATTTCTCTTCCCGAGAAACACGAATAGCTGACTTACTAGGACATTACCCGAAATTAAAGTTAAGTTGAAATGCTATAAAACTGATTGAAATTGTTAATTTTTGCCCAACATGGCCATTGTTTTCAAAAATATTTGATCAGTTGTGTTTCTCGACTTTTTATTCATTTTTAAAGCATGCATGCGCCATATTCAAACATCTGTATCTCACGTAATATTACACGACATTTTTAGCGCTGTATATCAAAATCTAAGTTAGCCTTTCCTCAATACAATAAAACTTATTTATGAAATCAAACAGCGCAAGCTTTTTTTGGTAAATGTAAATAATCTTAGGACGTGACTGAAGATGCGTGCCAACTATTCAAAGAAGCTCCAGAAAGCAGCATTAAATGTTCAAGCTATGTCGGAGATGATGATAGTACCTCACTTTCAGAATTTGTGAAGCAAACCCCTTAAAAGTGCAAAAATATTCTGACATCATCCACATAAAAATATCTTTATCTACACGTCTATACAATTTCAGCCGACGAAATAAATTCGATAACTATTGTGTTCTCTCACAGCTGAAAGTAATCAACTATCTTGTTTAATGTTTTTCATACTGTGTTCATCAGAACAGATACTCAGCTAGATTAAAGCATTGCTCCGTCCACGTATTGACCTTTATGCAAGACGCGGGAGACGCGCGTGTTGTGATACCTTAATTTCGTCATTTCGTGGGCGCAATAAAGTGTCGAAATGTCTTCCTCAAAGAGCATCGCCGACGATGCTCTTGACGTTATGCATTTACTTTCCCAAACATATGGATGTATTTAATATCATACAAGACAGAATAAAATTTAATCAGCATTAATGTTATCCAGTCTAACTACCAAGTATTGTACTTAATGTATATCGAGAAATTAGGACACCACTTATTTCTAATTTAAAACCTGACATTAATTATTTACAGCAATATACTCGTGGTTTGTGGTGGAGTAATTCCGCCGCAAGATTATGATTTTCTCTTTGAGAAAGGCGTTGCTGCTGTTTTCGGGCCAGGTATGTTTTCACGTCGATTTGATATTTTGAATTATTTGTTCAAAAGCTGTGTAAATTGAACAGTGGTTTGAGTGACACCATTCGCCTCCAACACAGTCAACACTGCAAATTGCAATCATAAGCATTGACATCACAGGCCGTATTCTGACTCTAACTCTCGCAAAATATCTCAAGAAATATTTTTCCGATTGAGGGTGTAACAGACACTACCGCTACCGTTACCATTAACTAATCAGATGCATATATTATTCTACCCAATTAAACAATTAAATAATGTTGAGAGGTAATGTTCGTTCATTTGCACTTCAAATCTCCAGCGTCTTTTCTACAATTATCCCCGAGCCAACGGGCGCCGTTCCGGGCGTAAGCCCTGGGCGAGGGTACTAATTCCGCCCGGCTATTTACACCCGGGGAAACGAAAGCATTAGCGAAGTCTAAAGTTCATCAATGATCGCGGGCGTGGGTGACTGTGCGTGTTTCGGTGGTTGGGCATCTCACTGATTTCAAAATATGGCTGTTTGCCAGGAGTGAAGAAGGCAAAAAAATATAAAAAATACATGTAAGAAAGCTAGTTAGTCATCGGCCGGCTGTAATGTCGAGAGCTCTGTAAATTGTCTTAATAATTCAACTACAGAGTGAAATCCTCGCATGAAACCGAAAAAATTTTGTTGCGGATTCAAATACGGATCTACATATATCTATCCGAATACGTTGCGTTCTCGATATGGGATATGGATTCTTAATTCCATCATCGTGCACATGACTGAGATACTTTAGTAATTTGTTATTGTTTTAGGCATACAATATCAATTTTGCATTCTTGCTGTCTTGAAGTACAGTATTCGAGACACACATGAGTGCTGGATGCTTTCATATTTGCAGGAATTAACGTGTTAGAACACTTTGAAGTAGAAGCGCATATCACAAGTGATTGTGAGCATCGGAAAATGATACTCGCGTGGCTAGCTGTGATAGCTTGGATAAGTTCCTGTAGCTGAAGGATGACTGTCGTGAATGACAATTTCCTGACTACAAAATATGTAAAATGAAAACAATGAAACAGATATACCTCGAACACTTTGTCGTGGCACAGACAACTTTAAAAGCAATTAGATATTTTTTGAATATCAGTTTCGGACCACTACTTTAACGCAAAATAATATAGGGAAATTAACGCAAAACGAAGTAAATGTACATACGAATTTTAAACATGTTGGTGCGGTGGCGTCACCTAGTTTCCTATCCATTTCCTGAAACACTTGTAAAATGAAGTCGAAGCTGAAAATTCAGATTTTCAACACTGCATACTTTCACATTTAATGGCAACTTGCGCTTTTGGGCCAATATTGAAATATTGAAATACGCCGTCTTTAATGCAAACATTTATTGAAACGTTTTAACTCATTCCATGCACTTGACTGACCTTGTGGTCTGAGATATGACTCAAACTGATTTATGGTTAGAGAATTATGAGAAAGCCTTTTGCTCTGTAGTTAAGATGGACAACCTCCCCATTGTGGTAGGGGAAAATATTAAAAGACAAAATGAAGAATTTTGCAAGCGTAGCGTTTTCAAAACAAATTTTCAGAGTTATTTCGATGCTCATCCACCCTTTCAACTCAGTAAAGCAATACTGACGGGGAAGTTTGAGTGGTCTTTTTCTGCATTCGTTAGAGCCACCAGATATGGACTTCATGTGTGTGTTAAAGAATATCACGTTTTCGCAAGAAGATCGGAAAAACGGCGGCTTGCAGCAAAGAGAAGATACGCCTTTTGTTTACGCATTTGTGACAAAGAATGAAACACAACAACTCTGGGGTGAGTTTTTTCACGATGCGGATACACATGCAGGAAAGAATCGATTGTCTTCAAGAAAATTGAAAGAAAAGCTGCAAGATAACTACCAAAAGACAAGCAGAATGTTCCATACTTTGGTCGAGGAAGGGCTTGAACAATTTAATGAAGGTGCAGCAGCGACCGTTCGTAAGCCTAAACCTTCATTGTCTTCCTTCCAGTGTTTTGTAGAAATATGGCAGAAGGTGTTAAGGCAACCAGTGAAAGAGCTATATAACATACACATAGATAAAAGTCAGTTTCAAGATGACATGTTATACCAACTAGTTCCTTCGAGTGACATTGTGTTGTCTATATACTGCGAGGGATGTCCCATCCTGTGGGAGAGAATGGATGACGCGAGAACGACTTTGGCCTCAAATATATTCAGTGGAAAAAATTACACAATCTGGATTTCATATTGTCCCAAAGAGTTCGCCTGATGGAGATTTTCGTTTGTCTTTCTTTCGTGCTGAATCAATGTTGATCGGGATTCTCTTACCACTGCAACACAGAGTAATGAGCGCTTTCAAAACAGTAGTGAAATATTATGAAAATACCTGGAGTCCAAATCTGAAGGAGATTATATCAAGTTATCATTTGAAAACCATCGCATTTTGGCATTTCGAGAAAACGTCACAAAAATCTTGGACTGAAGAAACTTTACTTCATCATCTTGTAACATTATTTCAGGAGTTCGCAGAAGTTTTGGGAATACAAAATCTTCCAATGTATTTTATGCCAAAATTTAACCTCCTCCAAGATGTTGACGATCCCGAAGTCACGCTGGACTTAATGGAAAAGATTTCACAACTTGCACACAATTTCTCTGCGATATCTGAAGCTGTACACAATTGCAATCTTTTAAAATTGCTGATGGCGACTGCCTCCGATCATTATAACCTTGCAAACATCTTCGTCACCTTACGTGAAGAAAAATTGAAAAAAGCGCAAGAAAACTGTGAAGTTTTATTCACCTTCTACGATGTCTTCGTAGCTATGGAGAAACTCGTAAATAGATTAATGTAGTTCTGACATCTGATTTATTTGTGTACTTAGACCACAACATGCGTCAAGAATTCCTCCCATTATATTGTGGTTTTGCTATGCTATATACTGGTCTCATATAATTGGTTCAGGATATTCAGCGCAGCATAATCAGTTTAGTTTGATTTATAGAGATTGAGAATGTTATATTGTCATGGTTTTTTCATTCAGTTAATTTGGTGTACAGTTTGAGCGCATGTATCCAATTAAGTGCAGGGTCGTGGTTATAGGATTGTTAGCAGGGGCGTAGGAACCAGGGGGGGGAGGCAGGGGGGCTAGAACCCCCCCCCCCCCAAGTTTTGCCAAGTGTCCTTTTTCTGGGAGCAAAGTGCCCTTTTCTTGCGTGAAAAATGTGTTAAGAATCGCCTTTTTTTGCCCAAAGGGCACTTTTGAAAACTTGAATTTATGTTATTTTCCCGAAAATTTTATTCATTTCGGGGGAAAATATGATATATCCAGAAAATAGTTTGGTATATCCGGAAAAATTTCTTCATATTTTGAAAAAAATGATATTTCCGGAAAATTTTTTTTGGTATATCCGGGAAAAAATTTTTAGATGCCCTTTTTTATTCGGAAAGTGCCCCTCGAAGCCTGCCCCCCCCCCCTTTTAGAAGCTTCCTACGCCCCTGATTGTTAGACTAAGTAAGTGATCATGAACACTTACTATATTAATGTAATGTAAATTCGCCATGTTTGGTACAAAATACAACTCTAGAGGTCATGTGTAAGATTCCTAATTCTCTGGCAAATAACTTGAACCATTGTTATAGATATGGATA